ATCCTCATCCGTCTTGCCACTTTGCCTTCAAGTCTCTGAGATCCAAAGTCGAGACCGGAATCTAGGATGCACCACAATAGTAAGGAAGCAACACCTCCCGACATAATTAAACGGCTCAGGCACAGGCTTCTGCCTCTCCTCCATTCTACGAATCAATTCTACAAAAACAAGGGAATTGCTACTGGGCTGGGTACCACGGCGCATGTCAATCTTGTTCAACCCAAATGTCTCCGTCTCGGGACATAAAACGAAACCGGGGCCCATGCTCATTTTCGTCTCAAGTTTTCCTTAGCCTCGACGTCGTTGCCGTGGAATAAATTAAGTACGGATCGACGCAACCAAATAAAAAAAAAGAGACTTTCTCCATTGAAAAAGGGTTGTTTTTCTTGTAACAGTATGACCCAGCATGCCGGGTGGGTGACCTTTTCCCTTCCTCGGCCGACACACACACACACACACACACACACACACACACACACACGCTCACGGGGAAAGGGGAAACCACTTTGCTGAAGTTGCTCTCACTCTCTCTCGCTCTCTTGTTACAGAATGTCAGTAAGGGGGTTTTGTTATGGGATGGGATCGACGTCGGCTTCCCGTGCCCACCTTTCATCCACTCACTCGTGTTATCCGAGCGAGAAGTCTACATGCCATACGAACCAGTCTCTGGGCAGAGTTAAGACTTGAATTGATTCTGAATTATCAACAACCGCAATAAGACACCAATCTCCAACCGAACCTTTTTTTCCTTTCAGGAAGACCAATTCGGAAAATCGCAGCTCGTACGGGAGTCATTCTCAATGAGGCGGTGTCTGTCATTCGTTCTTCCGAACTCCAACAATACGTGCAGTGCAGCCCCCGGCCCATGGGCACTTTTTCGTTCCGTCAGTTATCCACAACGGGCGAGTTGGGAACTTGGGGTAACACTCAAAGTGGCACTTCCCTCGCGAGGCGCTGCCAGGCACCCAGCAATAGCAGGTTGGGGTTTCTGTTCATGTCCAGGTTCCTGGCTGGTACCTTCCTCCAACCTTGCGTACCTTTTATGGATAGGTAACCAGCAAAAGAATTAGTATCCGTACGTATCTAACCATCAACAGGCGTAACCCAAGGAAGCGGGCCCTCTCACCTGACACCCGAAGCGGCTGGCCCTCCTCCTCCACCACCCCAAGATGCCAAGGTGTGTAGGTACTGTGGTAGGTACCTACAGAGTCCCGTCCCTCCTCCCAAGGAGTCCCCTCCGCTCTGCGGCACCCGCGCCGAGCCAAGACACAGACATGCGCTAGAGCCCAAGAGATCACACGCTAACGTCGACCTAACTAACGACTTGTTGTTCTACGGATGGATACTCCGTACGTATACTACACTACTGCGCAGTCTTGCGCTTGGAGGGGAAGAAGAAGAAGAGGGACTCGCAGGTGAGGGCAAGGGAGGGGCAAGAGCGGAGGGCGATAGCCCGCTTTATTTCTCGGCGGCCGGTGGCTGGCTGCTGCCGGATCGACATTGATGAGCGGGCTGCGGGATGGGCAGACGAAATGCAACGGGGTTTCGTTGAACGCGTGCAGTGGGGAGAGAAAGACAGAGAGCGACAGACCACGTTTTTCTGGAAAGAATGATCTGCAAAGGTGCGTTTCCGTCCCCTTTCGTGTAAGAGGACCATGGGCGTCGCTGCTGCGAATCTATCTGTACCTATTCAGAGGTGAGCTGAATCTGCAAACATTTGAACCAAGGGGGAATGGGACCGGAAGACGAAGCACGCTGGGACGACACACGACTCAGCTCCCACTTGGCAAATATCCCACACAGATAGACGATGCCGTTGAGCTCTCCCGCAACGAAATGAATCAACATAACAAAGTCTGCTGGGGTGCTTCCTTGACAGATCATATCACCTTCCGGAAATTTTCTGATATATGGGCGCCCGCACCATGCTCTCCCGATATGCAAAGCGCGAACCGCCAGTGCGTGGGCAATGTGATCCGAGAGCAGTTGCCATGGTGGGGGGAGGGATAGGAAAAAGAGAATCGTACTGCGATTCACCGCGCTGCTCCCTCCCCCTGCCATACGCACGTTCGAATGGCCCTGGCGTTGCCTATACATGATGCACATGAGCCGAAAGCCATTGAAGTGCTTTGATGAAGAAGCGGGGTAAAGACCAATGTGAATGAAGCCATCGGCGGAAACTTGAGCAATTCATCTTTTCGCCCAAACCTTTTGGTGTCGTTGCAGATTCTTTGGGGGGCTGGGTGATAGATTTCCGGCAACCGGTAACTGGTTTCGGACGTTGCGCGACGACATGGTTGGCGGGAACGGAACGACCATTCAAGTAGGCACTATAGACGAGAGGCGAGACCCAGGGTGTCAGCCAGACCACCACCATCCTATTCAGGGTCCTGGTGGCAGGGGACAATCTGCTGGACGATCAGGGCCCTGGTCAAAAGGGTATTTCGAGCGAAAAGTATCAACCCTTCTCCGTGACGACATGGCAATCGTCTTCTTTGCAGTCCGCATTGCTTGTCGGCAAAAGGCGAGTCCCTCTCGTATCGGAAGGAATGTAGGTTCCACAGGTCTTCGTCAAGAGCCCCAGGTATCCTGTTTGAGGCGTAGAGCTGAGCATCTCTTTCTTGTCGTTTCTCGGGTGAGTGGCCCTGATCAACGGAGCAGCTACGGAAGCAGGCCGGAGTGCTGGCTGGTCCATCATCCGCCTCTCCTCCTCCTCCCCACCTCACAAAACACCTCTGTACTGTGTAGTCACGGATACTTGGGTTTGCGACGCACAGGACAGCACCCGGTCCTACTTTGTCCGAACCATAGAAACCCATCTGTCTGGCTGGACCGGCTGGAAGGTTTCTCGGCTGCATTGGTGTCTGTCAGCCTTCCAGCACACACCATATCTAACAATGTTGGTCGATGTCCTGAGCGGTTCCTGTGTGTAGCCGTCCTGTAGGTAGATAGGCCCGGTAGGCTTCTCATCATCTTCGGATGGAGTAACCGTTTTTGGTGGTTTTGTGTTACCCATGCGTGTAGCATGTCTCACACTTTTTTCTTGCTCCGGCTGGCTGGACTCCAAACTCCCGAACAGCTGGAATGGGACTCACTCTATGAGGGATCAAATATTTGCGTCGTTTAGCATGCCTGTAGTACTCTCCTTCAGCTTCGCCACATCGATTGTAGCCATTGTTCCGGGAGTTTCCTCTAACTCGTCGACGAAAAGGAAGAGGGATCGAGGGCTGGAATCGGCCTGCAACGCACGGGTCTATCGACTTAGCTACGGCATCTAAGGCCCAAGTTGGGCAACGGGGCGGGGAACGATGCATGTATCGCGTGTGTACCTACACCCATTCGGCTTAATCGCCATCCGCCATCTCGACTCGGCAACGTCTCGATGAGTATCCGTACACCGGGCCAGTCCGGCCCTTAGAATGGGATGCAGCTAGAAGGCTGGCCCACACTTGAAGAAGGAGAGGAGGAAGCTCAGGCGCGGCATCGGGCCCAGCAGGTTGGAAGCACTGGGGTACAAGGTGATGAGAAAATACTATGAAGCAGGTCGACCCATGAGGTCTTCGCCACTAGTACGATGATGGCCCCCGATATCAGCAGTCCGCCTGTGATAGTTGGCAGTGATATAGCAACTGTGGACTGTGAGGTTGATGCAAATGTACTGGCTGGTAGGCCTGGGCATCCGAGCTCCGTTGCAGGGTTTGGAGCTTGCTCTCCACATGTGAGCTGAGATGATCCGCCAGGTGTCAGACACTCAGATCGGGCAGATGGGTAAGAGAATACACAAGTGCCGCTGAAGGTAAAGACGGACGGCACCTGCTTTTGCGCGGTCACAGGTATCTTATGTCATCCAGTAAGCTGACGTCTCGTTGCATTTTTATATTGAACTTGGCTGTCATGGTGTTGTATTGTCGACGGTCAGGCAGTTCCTGGCAAAAAATCAACAGAAATGTTGCTTTCGTAGTCGTTGCCGGGAGGGATTGCTTGGGCAGCGTCTGATCCTGTCCTTGTTTCGGGGGAAACACATATGGCTCTCATTGACCACGAGTGGCCCAATTCGAGGCTTTCCTGTGCGTAGTCGGATTCGATTGATATGCGTGCTCATTCACTGATCCCCTGTGTAACTTGCTACCGTTTCTCTGCCGCCGGTAGCGGGTTTCCTGCTCTTTTCCGGCGCGGTTGAGTTTGTATGAAGAAGACGCTGACCCATGTTTTCAGCAACAAGAGCCCGTTAGTGGCCAACGGCCTCGGCACGTTTCTGTTTTCTCGTTACAGGACATGGATGGTCACGGCATCAGTGCTCAGGGTGATTTTGACACTCAAAGCTTCAAACGCATTACCTGCAGATAGATTAAAGCGTTGCTAGAGGCAATGTCGGTATCCAATGATGAAGCACTAGACAGAGGCAGAAATTAGACGTTTATGCTGTTTTCAGGATGCTCCCTTACGTTCTCCATCAACGTCCGAACTTTGACGGTGCCCCATGCTTTTAGAGGTGGGGTTGTTGTCTGCGATGGCCCTTGGGCTTTGTGGTCGGTTTTCGAAAGCAGGCGCCGAGTCACACGGAGAAGACTCTACGGATAGCCCCACAATAATAATAGTGTGGTTGACTTTGCTTGTGGTGGCTGTCGATTTGGTGTAAACAGCCTTGTGATGTTGATGATTTCCTGCAGTGCCAACTTCTCGCAAACGATCCGATACCTAGTAGATACAGTCAGGCAGTCTTTGGAATCGGTATTCCGCGTGTTGAAGGGATCTATGGATGAGCTACCAGGGGCACGAACGTCGGGGACAGGGTGATTGGCGAGATCTTACTCTATATTCTGTGTAACCAGCAATCGTCGATGTTGCCGTCGTTCTGTGCTAGATTGTGCTGCACACAGCGAATTATGCTCAGGTATGGCATTGTCCGGCCGAAGCCCAGTAGTCCGTGCTGTTTGAAGCCACGAGTACTGGGCCATCGCAGTTTGTCGCAGTTGTCTGGCGTCTGCATCATACTTCGCTCACAAGCCGGGAGAGGGTCCCTGCTTTCTGCAAAAGTCGTTCGAGGTCAAATAGTTGGTAGATGGGACAATACGTGGTGATGGCAGGCCGACTTTCTCGGACGCGATCTTGGACTGAGTAATGTTCCGGTGGGAGAATTGCTGTATACCAGCGCCAGTATCGTACTCACTGGTATAGAACGTACAGGTCCTCGTTGATGGCGCCGAAACAAATGCATAAGGTATCCGTACCTGGCATGAAGCCAGTTTGGGTGCCCGTCTTCCATGGTCACACAAAAGCGTGGCAGGTGCTGTGGCCTTGTGTTCTTCCGCAACCCAAAGGAGTGAATATTAGCGCAACATGTTCGCTACACCAAACGACACCGATCCGTCTAGCCTCCCTCCAAACACTACAGTACAGTCGAGATGGGTGGGAGTCGGTAGGCTGCTGGCTGCCACGCTGCATGCCGTACTGGCTATGTACCTACCTGCTGTGCGTTCGCCATTGTCGAGTCAAGGTGAAATGTCGCGCAGGTAGACCGAAATGCACCCAGATGCGCTACCTACTATTGCTGAAGTATCCCTACCTTGACGTCCGTCGCCAGGGAAAACGGCAAAGACATGTTTCAGTCGAGGTTGAGACAATGAGACGCACCGACCGAGACAAGCAAAGAACGGCTCTATCTGGCAGGCAAGCGAGACTTGCAGTTGAGATTCAGGCTCAAGCCGAATCTCCAGCTGCCATCTGCCGCCTCCCCTGACGTGGAGTACAAAATGCAAATCAAATCCAAATCAACCTGCATGTGTAGCAAGCCTGTCAGCTAGAGAGTTGCCCATATACGGTACGTACACTGCTGCGTAGCGATCGGCCCTGCCAATCGCGAGCTTCGTTCGCCTTACGCCATGCTCTTGGTAGTGTAGGTACGACAAAGCTGACCACGAAAGCAACCAAGCCAGTCTGGAGCCTTGCTTGGGGAGGCCATACGATGGTGAGTGTCATTGGGGGCTCGGGCTCGTACCCAGGCCGTGGCGCTGTTGGCTCCTGGCCTGACCCGTGATCGTGATGGCTGTAAGTAGGTACTGCGTCACCTCGGACGAGCGCCCGTATGAAGGCCCGCGATAGCTTGCAAGTTGGCGAAGCTTTGCATGCCGGCCCGCCAACATGGGCACATATTGCGAAAGTCGACGACTGTGGCCTGCCTGCCCTTGAAGAAGTGGAAACTGGGAAGTGACGTGACGGGAAAAGCCAGCGGATCCGAGGACACAAGCATGATCCATCATCCCGCACCAACCATCCCACGCCGTTTGAGTGCTCATTCTGGCGGTTAGGGGAAACACTATTTCGGCGTTAGTCTGGGCCCGATGATGAATCCGATTAAAGTGACTTCCCTTCCCGCGGGAACCCGGGTAGCCACAAAGTCGTGTCCGATGTTCGCTGCGTGTGTCTCTCTGTGAGTGGTACGGAATATGAAGAAACGATGGCAGAAATTGCAATTGTAAACGACGTCAAGAGTCGATGGCGGGCAGCTCGTGGTGAATGGACGACAGGGGTCTTGGGCGGGCACGGCGGGATAGTATTTGTTTTTCTGACTTGTTCTTTTCTTTCTCGATCTCTGTGAAAAGTCGTCTGTAGCATCGTTCACCGTCGACGATTTGGGGGTCTTCTTTCTTTTTCTTCATTCCGGGGAAACACCAGCTGGGTCTCAAGGCTTTGGAGGCTTCGGAGGCGTTGTCGAGGAAAGAGACATTGGCAATTGAGGTACGTACCGATATTCGTACCTACTGGTGTTCGTACGAGAGGAAGGTACGAAGACCGCATCAAAAGAGTGGAAGGATCGACTGGGGTTCCCGAGGTACCTTCCCGACGCCTCCGTACTTGCACTTGCAACAACATACATTTCTAGACGGGATCCACTCCGAGGTACTCACAGGTAGGTACAGATACTGCAGCGGTACATGACCTCGTGGCTGCAACCAAAAGTTAGGTATGATTCTCCCGCGCCCCCAGCAACCCAGCACACTCGCGCATCATCACCCAATGTGCCAATCCATCCACTTGGGCACTGCTGCTTCACTGGTGCTTCAATGGCAGGTGCAGGTGGTAGACGGAGGTGTACCGCCGAGACTGAAGTGAGGGCAGGAACCAACAATTCGATGACCTCCTTCCGTTTATCCCGTCTCTTCCATTGATCCTGTCGTCCGCCTCAAATCAATCCGTACCTTGCGGAATAATTCTACCAATCCTCCCTCACCTTCTGTCCTCTCCCACGCGCGTCTTCGCTCTCATTGGTTTCCTTCAACACTAGAGTAATCCAGCCGGGATGTGCGTTCTGGTCTCCCTTCAGCCAACCCAACTCTCAACTTACTGGAACTTGGATGCTGTCTGCCAATTAACCACCCGGTCGCCTACCTATGCGGATGCCTCTTCTGCGCCCTCGAATTTGTCCGAATGATGTCAGAGTCTTTGAAGAGCCTGGCATAGAGATACAAACACCGGCGGTGACTTTATGTGTGGAAGCACCAAGTAGACTAGCGGTAGACTGATCAATGGTCACAGTCACACTCCTCGACGATGGGACACTGCAGCAAACAGTCAAGTGACAGCGCAAGCTACTTGACCCATTGGGATCCTCATGAGACCCGCACCAGCTGCAGCATAGAAGGTCAGGTACGGCCGTCCGTCCGTGACTCCATTTGAAGGATGGCGAGGCGACCTACCACAGTAGAACGTCTGCACAGCACATGGGCTTCCCCTCATCACACCTAGCCGCTGCATCTCAATGACTGCTACGTACACAACCGCATTCCGCCATGACACCGAAGACGGCCCAGGTCAATCTGGATGAACATGGCTGAAGTCGAATAGGTCGGCTTGGTCGGAAAACCCTTACTTCTCTGCCTTACTCCCAGTCGTTGAACCCTCAAGAACCGTTCAGCCAGCAGCGATCGCGCCGGCCAATTTGGACGGATGCGGGCATGGTGTGGGTGTTGCCACTGGTATGGCCCTCTTCACATTCCATCTAGAAGGAAGGGTGTTCCCACTCAGGCACACGCACCAGTTGCAGTGCGGTCGACGTTGCGTGCAACGAATTCTATCGGTCACCAGCTGCCGGCCACGTTCCAGCCGCAAGAGGTCGAGTAAAGAAGAATACCGCCCCGGCGACGCCAGCCAGCGGCACCACCATTGGCGGACGGGGTTTCAGCCCGCCTTACCTTACTATGCCATGCCAGCGAAGCAGAACAAGATGCAGAGAAGCCTTCTGGATACCCAGTCATGCCAGTCTGGCGTCGTCTTCCCGACTCGCCTATTTCCTGTCGTTGATTCTTACTTCTGGCCGCCATGGAACAGCAAGGCAACTACTCAAAAGGCATATTCTGTACTCAAAACTTCAAACCCATCCGACGGCTTCTTCCCCGGGTGTCGAGACCAGTATCCGTTGCCAATGGAATTCATCAAGCGAGCGACATTGGCCTCTACTCAAGGTCCGACAGGGGGGTGCACTAGCCGCTGCTAGCCCAGTGCGCTCACCATCACCATTGTCGCAACATGGAACCTGTGTATCCATCAAGTAAGGACAGGCCGCGTTCTGCAGTCGAGGTACAGGCTTGGTACTAAGCCCACCGAGGAGGAACTGCAGGGCAGCACCACCACAACAGGACGAGACAGGAGACCATCTTTCACCCAAGGATAGCGCCGAATGGTAGCACTGGAGTGGACCGGTTTCGTCCCTACAAAAACAATTTACGGTATTGCTAACCGTGGGAGCAAGTCACTCTACCAAAAGCACCAGGTTCGTCGTTCTGATTTCCCAGTCACCGCTGGTGATGTATGAGCATAATGGTAAGGACCTCTTCGTCGCAATATCCAGCATGACCCGTTCGCGGGCGCAGGTATATCCGTACTTCTCCAAACGGGATGAGATGTCTTGCAGACAAATGCAACAGCGCAAGGGCGATGGATGGCGGCGGACCGAAAGTTGAGGTATTGAACATGTAACAATGTTACAGTTGAGACGGCGAGAGCTACGTTCGGGTGGCAGATCCACTAGCTACGGTTGAACTGGGACTGGGCTGGACCGGACAAAGCGGTTTTGCCCTTGATTGCCCGCCAATCCAGTCCTTGTTAAGGTTCGCGGCCGTGTGTCAAGTTTGGACGGATTGCCCTTCGTTCAAACAACTGGAAGCCGAAGCAATACGTCGGGCTGTTATGATTGCAGAGAATAACTCGACGGAAGATATGGTACCCACCTCCGGGCCCGAACAGGCGGACGGCTGCATCACTGTTTCTTTTCCCTCCAGAAGAGAAACATGAAGCAAAGATATCGACGAGCAAGACAAGAACGGCATGGGCTGCTGGAAACGATGGGACAAAGGCAGGCCACCACAGACGAGGTTTGCCACATGCTGCCTGCTCCCGTTTCCGTTTCCTGTTGAGCAGCCACCAGCGAGTGCCCCTTGGTTTTCTTCTCATCAATCTTATCATAACAGCAAAATGAAAGCGATGGAGTCATGGAGACAGAGGAACAGGAAGAACAAGGGGTAGCGACTGGGAATATGGGACTTTTCGTAGGAGTGGGAACAAGACGAGGAGGTGAGTGAGTCGGCGGGCCCAATCACCGAATGACAGGGGAACGAACTATGGGATTCGAAAGGGAAAAGTCAAGGCCAAAAATATCCATAGAGATACCACCTCCCTACTCGGTGACAGCACTGACAAAATTCAAGTCATCCTTTTCCGGCACGATGCGGACGAGAGGATGGTCCGGTAGCCTGCTGCGCAGCGGGTTTTCTGGTCGTTCGTCTCACCATTTGGGCTGATTGGATTATGTTTTACAGTTTCTTTTCATCTATTACGGTTTCCTCATGTCCTTTGCTCAAGTCGTCAATGTCATCCTGTCAAAGTGGAAGTGGGTGGGCCTGGACCCCGTGACTCGGAGAACAAGCATACCTTAGTAATTGAATGATTAGGGATACGGATAGACAATAGACTATTCGTAAAGAGGGAGGAGGCAGGTGAAAAAGAGGCTCAGAGGGATACGGTGAAGGTTAAATGGATTATGGAACGAGGTGAGGGACCGCCCGCTATCGGATGCTATGCCGGGCTGGGCCCCCGGCCGGAAGTTGTCGTGTAAACCTCGCCCATGCCCAATGCTTTTCGAAATTCTCCATAGGTTATTACACATTGCCCACCTCGTCTTGACTCCTCGCACTATCGCGCGCAAGTGGTGCTTCTACCTCTGTGTTGTCTTGCGGCCACCGTTCGAATGTCTTCGCCCTTTGGCTTCCT